TCGAACCGAACCGAATTGAAAAATTTGGTTTATCAAAAACTGTATTACCGAACTGAAAAATTCGGTTTCACATATTTCGATTTTTATACCACTCGGTTTCGGTTTTAATTTTAAAAAACCGTTTATTGCAGTTCGGTTCAACTTTTATTAAAAATCAAACCGAATCGAATACACCCTAATAATGATAAATTATAAAATGGAGAGAGAGTTTTGTGTTACTATTTCAGCTACCATAATAAATGTGCGAAGAAATTAAGTGATTTGAGCTAGCTGTTGAACATATTTCTGGGTAATTTCATGAAAGATGTTTTGCAATTTTAGCATTGGTCATCCAACATTAATTACTTGTAACATCCTTTTCTTACTATTGTTTTCCCAAAAAGGTGGCCATTTTCAACATAATTTCGTTTAAACATTAATTGTTTGATATCGTAAGGTCTCGAGTTCGAACTTTTATGTACGTAAAAAATCGCCCACTCATCGAAATTAAGAGTACGACGTAAATCGTTCAAACTAATCAAGCCACCATTATAATAACACACCGTTACCCAATCCCTTGTTTTGCTAATCCATCCGCCTTCGTGTGGACACTGCTCGAGCTACAGACACTGATATATCTTTAAGGTGGTGTTTGTTTTTGCAGAGGTAAAAGGTCTGCAGTCTGCGGACCACATCTGCAGGCATCTGCAGCAGAAGAGGTGGACCAAAAGTCTGAAGTCTGCAAGAAGAAGACTGTTTGTTTTTTAACGTCTGCAGACTGCTAAAATAAATTGAAATATAAATAAACTGCTTTTTTAAATTATACTCAAATAACCATTTTTGCTATTAATTTTTTAAAAATTATAAAATATCATTAAATTTAATGATTTATTACAAATAGTCACTATAATGTTGTAATAAATTATAAAAGTTCAATAATATAAGAATTATTTTATAGTATTTAGATAAATTTATTCGAGTGGTACAATCCGATTCTAATAACATCAAAAAATATATATAATATATACTCCATATAATATACATCAATTAGTATTTTTCTATTTAGAAAAAATATATTATTTGTTTTTTATTTATTTATTCTGTATAAAGTGACTTTCGTACTTTACTAGAATTAAATGATAAGAATCAGATTTTTCAATAGTGTGAATATTTTTTATTAAAACATTTATTTTGTCTTTTAATGCTAATAATTGTATGTCCCCGTGATTTTCTAAGTTTTTATATAAATTTTTTTTACTAAGTTTTATTGTATAATATGTTTTACTAAGTTTAATATATTTTTTCAAATAAAGTATATTAGATATCGTTGAGTTATATACAAATGATCATTTTCGTCAATAAAGTTTAAAAAATTATAAAATACTTATTAAATTTATTAAAAAATTATTAATAAATTTATCTAAATACTATAAAATAATTATTATATTATCGAACTTTTATAATTTATTACAACATTATAGTGACTATTTTGTAATAATTCATTAAATTTAATGACATTTTATAATTTTAAAAAAAAATAGCAAAAATGGTTCTTTGAAGAGGTTAGAAGAGCTTTGAAGACATAAGTCCACGTCTGCGCCAAGAAGAGGATGCGCAGACGTTAGAAGAGCTTCTATCTTCTAAAAAACAACGGTCTGCGAACCCCAATATCTACGCAGCGCAGACTTAAGAGCTTTGATGACCTGAAAACAAACACCACCTAAATTATTCAAATTTCATCTATAGATTAAAAGATAATACACACTTAGATACGTTCAAATATAAACTTTTCTCTATTTTGTAAAACTAAAATATCAACAATAAAATCTTGTCAAACGCCAAAACACCAACTTAACGACGATAATTATGATGTAAACAATCTCTGAAGCAAGTGGTTAAAAATTCTCGGTTAACGGTTCCCCTCTCTTCTAGGTCGTAGATTCAATACATATTAAGAATAATGTTTCTTCTCTCTCATTATAATAGAAATTGTTAAAAGAACGACACTAATTATGATATACACTATCTTATTTCTTTTTCTTTTTCAACGAAAAATGAACCGACGGTACTATCATAAAATGAATGTAACGATGATGATATGTTAACAATCGACTTTATCACAATTCAAATATAACATATTAAAGATTGTGAGTATGTATTAATATAAAGGAATCAATATGAATATTCAAATAAAAGATAAATAAATAAAATAATTGAGTAAACATGAATTAAATGGATAATATTAAATCTAATTCATGTATATAATATATGGCTCTCTCGCCCATAAAGGGTCATGGGAAAAATTATTTTCCCAGCATTCGTAATATTATTTTTTGAACTATGGTTTTTTATTGGTATGAAGACGCTGTGCACTCTTGGTGTCTTCTCCACTTGCCTTAAGACGTCATAGAATATTCTTCATTTTCCTGAAGACGTATGCAGTCGTGGAGTATTCATATTTAGCTTGAAGACTCGTGGAGCACTTGGCGTCTTTAAGTTAATACTGTTCAATTCACCCTAGATGGAAAAATAATCCTCGGACTGGATTAAAAATCCCACTTACATTATCTTAACGATTTTCCTTATAACCCTAATATATATATATATGATTAATGAAGAAAATATACAGCACACCATATGGGCCATATGTTTTTGACTTTCCATCAATAAAAGCTGGAATTGTTCAATAAAAAAATTAATTAATACATACAAAGAAGATTTGATTGACGAAGATGTAGGTTTAAGTGATAAGTAGTTTTATATCGTTTAAGTTGAGTTTTAGGTTCGGATTTTTATGTATATAAAAAATCTCTGTTGACAGATTCGCCCATCAAAATTAGATATGAGACGTGAATCGATTCAGATTAATCAGAATGAAATCTTTGAATCCAGAGAAAATAAATAAATAAAACGATTTGATTAGCCAAACTATTCATGCACGTTACCAGCCGTAAAGGACAAAAGTGATGAGCTTTGTTGCATGTTAGGTTTCTAAAAAAACCAATAAAATCAAAGTATTAGGTTTTTTTTTGAAGCTTCCACATTGTTCCTCCAAACCTAAAACTTCCAAAACAATTCAAATTATTTTATATATTATTATTTTTAGTATGAAAAATAAATTCTCTATTATGGGTCATTGTCCCATACTTCCAATAATAATAAAAATAATAAAATATATTATAAATTTATATTCATGGAATTTGACTCCTTCATACAATCCAACCTTGATGTTTATTCTTACATTCCATCAACAAGGTTGTCATTTGTCACTTTTTAGCTAGCTGTTATCTTCAATCCCTCCAACTTTTTAGCATCACTTTATATATAATTGATTTATTTGTTCAAATATGTCATGCATTTCCCACAATAGGGTTTAGGGTGTGAACAACTATATGGACCGTCACCCAATGTTTATTGACCTAATCATTAATTATTAGGGTAGAGTATACAAATAGTCTTCCTACTATATAATTATTGACTATTAAAAGTTATAAAATGGTCACCGACTATTTATTATGTTTTAAACCTGTCATTTTATGTTAAAAGATAGACAATTTTTTTAAGTTGGACATTAATTAACATGATGACTGATATATGATAGTTGTTTGTGATCCTGAGATCATATTTTATCATATCATAATTAGCATGATAACGTTCAGTTAAGAATACCGTCAATTTTTTAACGAAAAAACGAGTTTTGAACATGATAAATAGTTGGATGATCACTTTGTAACTGTTTAATAGTCGATAGATTCAACAAAATAACACTCTATAGGATAATAACCTATTTCGTCAAAAAAAAAGTCGTAATTAATTGAGAAGTGAGTTTACCAAATAATAATTAAGATGAAAAAAATTCAGACCAAAAAGTTAAAAGGCAGAAACAGATCACGTGTGGTGTTGTGGATCCATGAAAGACTGAATGTGAAATTATTTGCAATTCGTCAAACATTGCTCGAATTTCAAGAAACGATCAGTTTGACTATCAGAGAAGATCATAAAGTTTCACATTTGGGTCGTAGTTTTAATTAATCAATATCCAATAGTAGAACATATGTAATGATATATTATATTTAGAGATAATGAGTTCGAGGATTAGCGTCGGTAATAAAATAATTGATTTATTATTATCAAATGGTTGAAAGTATTTAAAACATAATTACTTTATAATTGCCTCCACGTTTAATTCAAATGATCCGTTAGTTTGAGAAGATGTTAATGGTATAACCGTACCCGTTTATGAGATTTTGGTGGTCTTAAGATGAATAAAAAAAATTAAGTGATATTACGGTCACTGTAATTATTTTGATTGTGAATTTTTAATAACATATATATCGTGAGCATAATGGTCATGGATATCGTGATTTTAAATGATGTCGTCGTCACTACATAACGATCACAGTTGTGGTTGCAAACCGTTATTTAAGTAATTGTTCCTAATAACAAGTTTTTAAAAAAATTATAAGGGTAACTTCATAATAATAAGTTTTGGAAGATCCCTAATAACAAATATTAAAAAAAAATATTAAGAGTACACTCGTAATAATAAATACTAAAAAAATTAGACCCTTGATAACAGGTATTGAAAAAATTAGACCCTTAATAACAAATGTTAAAAAAATGATGACAAAAAATTAGATATTTATACAAATATTAGAAAAAAATAATTATAATAATAAGTCTCCAATAATAAATATTAGAAAAAATGAACCCATAATAATAAATATTAAAAACAAAAGCAAACCCTTAATAACAAATATTAAAAATCATTTTTTACAAATATAATGTATTATAAAAAAATTACGGCCCTAGGCAAGTACCTCTCCTGCCCAAGCCCAAATACGACCTTGGGTATCATTAGAAGGCCCTGGGCAAGTGCCCCTCCTACCCAAGCCCAAATACGACCCTGGGTATCGTTAGAAGACGTTAGTTCGTTATCGCACATCGTTTTGATGAAAAAATTGTTAAATATGATAATCGTGTCTTGGAACCACTTAAAAGATGTCACAAAAACCATGTATTTGATGAGCAAATTTATTCCATAAACAAGGAAATGGTATCCCTTTTACATGAGTTCAGGACAATACAGTTCTTACTCTCGATCGGATTCGAATAGCAATGCCGACATCCACCAAAGCTGTTAAAAACCTTCCTGCCATGTTTAAACCAGGTATGATAAGCATAACGTATGGAGAACAAAACAAAAGTAGAGAGCAATGTCGATTATAACAACGAGCACGATACTACAATGTCCGTCGTTCCACTAAATATAGAATGCACATTGTGGCTTTTATAACAAGGCACATGCTTCTCTGCTCGGATAACAACGAGCTGGTGCAGCATGCTAAATTCAAAACAGGCACATAAACAGCCTAGGCCTGGTATGTGCCAAGGAAACAGTGCTTAGCATTTGATACAACTGTTCAACGCATGATTAGCCATGGACTACAAATTACGAATTCGGATGAGGGAGAAGTTTAATTGATCACCGAGGTGCACTTATGTATATCCCTTGTGGCACATAAGTAGGATCGGATTCCATAGTTCTCTAGGCACATAAGTATTTAAGCACCGTGTTTATGTTAATAATGACTAAAAGAGGAAGCCTTAAAATATGATAAGTGTTTAGAACTCCTTAATCTCATAAATCGATCAGTAAAAGAACCAAAAGCAAAGGACTTCTTTATCTGGATCGTATCACAATTTACCCGCCATCAGAATCGAAGTAATCTCAGTAGAAGCAGCTCAGTCCCAAAATAGTATTCTAAGTCCCTGACTTCTTCATTCTACAATAATCCCCTACAACACCCTTTTGTCAAACCTTTTTATTCGAGTAGTTCCCAACGTGTTATATACTCAAAAGCCTTAAGCAACCACACTAAAGAAATTATCAGTTTCCCTCCAACACATCCTACTAAACCTCGCATTTTAGTGATACTTTCAGTAAAGCATTTTGTTTAGGATCTAAGACAACTCAAAATGGTAGATGTAACACATCAGACACCGTTCATTGCTTGCTCGGCAGTAACTTTTTGCAGAACTCACACGTAGAAGCACTATTGTGAGGGGAGAGCAAACTAAAATGCAAAAGTTTTACAAAAGAACAGTAATTGAGTTCCTAATCTAAGAAGTTTTATGAGTATGATGTTTTAGTGCTTTCAGAATTTGAAAAGAACATATTCGTTCCTCCTAACTTCTATGTCCAAGCTTTGCGATTCAAGACAAGCCGATGCACCAGAAAATGGTATCTATGTCTGAGCCTCACCTTACCATGTTTACCAAACAGAGGGCGACAATGTCATCCGAAAATTTGATTTAAACCAGAAATATCATTCAATACACTAACTCAGGCCTCCTATGATATGTCAGTTAAATTTTGGATTAGATTTAGACCAATACCACTTGAGGGAAATAAACGAGAACAATCAAACTAAATGACTAATCAGAATTCATCTTCAGTATGTAACTGGGATATTACGCTTTCCAATGCCTCAGCACTCTCCAGTTAAACGTCCATTTGTTCCTTATTCCGTAACCACAATATCTTATACTGATCATAATCAACATAGTTCCATCAGCTAAGATACTAATTCATTGAAAATAAATAAATATGAAAGTAACCTAATTGTGCAAACACAACTACCTTCACCGGTCAAGATACCCCAAAAAAACCCATTATGGTAACCAGAAAAAGCATGTGTATATAATCCGATTGCTCGCAAAACATAACATGAAATCTCATTAATCAAGATCCAGAGAACACTTGCAAGCATTAGCCGCCACATGACCGTTCAAGATCTTATTTAATCCCATTTTCAGAGGCTCTACATGGACATAAAGTCCAGAATCTGTGCTGTTCTGACTCCCTATATACAATACTCTATACCACAAGGCAAGAACAACCTAATTCTACTTCCAAAATCTTCAAAATGAACACAATTCTATGGACTAACCGAACCGGAAGCAAAAATCGAACGAGCAGGGTACATTCCAGATCCCCTGCTCTTTTCAATCAAATACCAGACGAACCAAAGACTGAAAGAAAAAACGAGTTTTTTATTCGAAGACAGGAAACCGAGTTCCTTAAAGTATCGATAATCGAGTGCCTGAAATTCATTGATTTGATAATCAACGGGGATAAAAGAGAACACCTAAACGCTTCAATTCAACACTAAGATCAAACAGTAAATTTCTATTCAACTTTTAGCAGCAAACCCTTGATTAAAACAAAGCCCTGTTGAGAAAAACAAATCCCGATCATCCAATAATCTATCTGGTCAATTCAAAAAGACCCATGAAAACAAAACCTAGCCTGCTCAAAACCCAAAAAAGTTCTGAACTTTAGAACCCGTACTTTAAATTCAGAGAACCCATCAACAAATCATGCAAAAAAGAAAGAAGAATAAAGAAACGAAATTTAACTCACCGTGGAGGTAGCTTAAGTATCAGCGGTTTTGGGGATGAGAGGGATGGATCCGCCTTGTTTCCCCGCCTGTTTGAATTTGGCCTCTTCCTCACGGATCTTCTGCATCTGCAGCATCCTCTCCATGACGAGCTCGTACTCGCACTTCTCGTACGAGTGGCGTTCGTTCTCGCATTTCCAAGGCAAGTAGAACTCGGCTTGCCGGCACTTGTTGAGTGGGATCAAAAGGTGAGCGCAATGGTCTCTGTATGGGATCGGCACCTTGTTCGCCACCATTTCTTCCTGCGTTGCAATCATCTTCTTCGACGAACCCTTCACTTCCATTTTTTCTGGTTCCTCTCTCCTTTGATCCGAACAAAATTCTTGGGTCATGGACAAAAATAAAAATCCCTACTTGGCTAGATTTATCTAATTCTTGTGCTTTTTTGGGTAAAGTATACAAATGATACCTTAACTATATGATACTATTTTGTTAGGTTCACCGACTATTAAAAGTTACAAAATGATCACAATTATAGGATGCTGCTTTGTCGAGTCCTCTACTATTAAAAGTTACAAAATAGTCACCGACTATTCATTATGTTCCAAACTCACCGATTTCCATTAAAAAATTAATATAAATCAGAGTTGGATATTAATTTGTTGTCTGAGATATGATAGTTGTTTGAGATTCTAAGATCAGATTTTATCATATCTCAAACAGATATTAACATCTAGTTTAGACTGTCATCAATTTTGAACAGAAAAATATGCGTTTGAAACATAATGAATAGTCGGATGATCATTTTGTACTTTACCATTGTTTTTTCATCATTTACCTCATAATTCAGATTAGATTTTTGGTCTAATATTGATTTTAGTCCCTCTACTATATTAATGTCAACTAGCAGCGTCATTATTATAAGGCATGATGACAAATTCAGCCTCTAATGTTTCTATAAATATTCAATTTGGCTCCTATTCTTTTTTCGAGTGCATTTTAACTCCAGCCCATTTTAATTTTTTTTATCAAAATAACCTGTACTAGATGAAAAATATTAATTGACTAACGATCAACATAAGTTACTGATGTGACATAATCTCTCTATTCTATACTAAAATGCTACTTTGGATGAATGGGAAATACGTCGCTCTTTGATCTGCATAATAAGACCTACGAGCTCTCTGTTTTATGGCAGAGATCTCTCCACGCCAAGGAACCAAATCACAATAGGTCGAAGACCTCCTTTTCTTTCCAATTAGTCAAATTCTTACTTGGGAAATTGTGGTCGACCCCGACTAGATGACGTGGGCTTGAAGAGGGACAGGTCTTGTGACTTGTCTAGTCAGACATGAAATTAGAAGGTAGCAGGTTGTTGTAAAGTAGATATCAACCACATGATTTTAGAAGGAGAATCCATGAACAGAACATTACCAAGCTTCTAGTTTGGAAGTAGTTGTTGAGGATGTAAAGAGTGCCCAACTCTATTATATATAAAACAATACCAAAAACACTTCAAAATAGCCTCTTTCAGTTTATATATATATATATATATATATATATATATATATACACCATGTTTGCTTATGTTGTGTATGCAATGGAGCAAGGTGTTGATAAGAACGTTGATTTGCAGAGTTCATCTACAAAAAGGTTAGTTTCCAATGGCTACTCCAACACCCTTGTTCGATTTCGACTCTAAATGGTTTCGGTTTTTTTGTAGGATGATTGGAAAAGTTGTGGTCATAACTGGTGGTGCGAGAGGGATCGGAGCTGCTACGGCTAAATTGTTTGCTGAGAACGGGGCATCCGTTGTCATCGCAGACGTTTTGGATGAATCGGGGACGGTTCTTGCCGAATCCATCGGGGCTCGCTACGTCCATTGCGATGTATCGAAGGAGAGCGACGTCGAATTGGCTATCCAGCTTGCCGTCGCATGGAAAGGCAAACTCGACGTGCTGTTCAGCAATGCTGGCATTGGAGGCACTGCGAGCAGCATAGTCGACCTCGACATGGAACAAGCGAAGCATCTGATCTCGATCAATCTGCTCGGAAATGTTCACGCGATCAAGCACGCCGCGCGAGCCATGCTGAGATGCGACACGAAAGGTTCCATCATATGCACATCGAGTTCGGCTGGCATCATGGGAGGGCTAGCGTCTCACCCTTACTCTCTGTCGAAAGCCGGCATCCTCGGACTGATGAGGACCGCCGCGTGCGAGCTAGGCGTGCACGGGATCCGTGTGAACTGCATCTCTCCACACGGCGTCCCTACGGATATGCTCGTGAGCGGCTATAGAATTTTCCGAGGGAAAGAGATGACGCCCGAACAAGTGGTTAAACTCGTTGGTGAACAAGGGAGTTTATTACGCGGGAAGGCTGCAACCGTCGAAGACGTTGCCCGAGCTGCGATGTTCCTCGCAACTGATGGTGCCGGATTCATAACAGGACATAATCTCGTTATCGACGGCGGATATACTTCCGCGATCGGCAGCCTGAGTTTCATCTACAAATAGCAAAAAAATCGGGAAAACGAAAAATAAAACAAAGAACAACGTACTTGATATGTAAACATGATTGAATGCAAACACATTCAATCAAACCAACATAGTTGTACTACGCCTTATATTGAAATACATGCAGTTTTTATCTTATAACATCACAGGTGAATTTCTCTCCATATCAGAAGGAACTTTAAAGAACCCTTCTGCTTTTACTTCGAGACGCCGACGACGTACACCGACATTATAGTTGTACGTCTTTGCGCATTGGGCCTTGTCGAGGATCAATCTGTTTTGATTTTATTTCGATGAACCCACTTGTATTAAGAAAAATGTAATTCTCGGCCTAATTTGGACTTGAACTCGCAGCCTATGTTCATGCAGCTTCTTAGTCAGGTAGCTCACAATATCAGTTGCTATCCCATGATAAGCCTATTTCATCTAAAAATTACGAGTTAAACTTTTGAACATTTCAATTTCATTATCAAATTATAACTTTCATTTTAAAGTGATTTTTAAACTTTTAACTCTTTCAATTTCATCCTTAATTTCATCCGTAATTAGTTTTAATATAATTGAGGGTAGAAACACTCCTTAAATTATAGTTAAAATAATTTTTTTTTATTTTAGCAGACGGAAAATTCTACAGTACACGTTGCACACCGCAACATACCACTAAAGCGATGTTCCGAAACGTACCACTAGTTAAATTATCTTTATTAAGTAAATATTAAAAAGATATTAAGTAAATATTAAAAGGATAAATTACACGCTTTTATACTTAAATTATCACTTAAGCTTAATTTTAGTATTTAAATTTTAATTTTAGATACAATTAAAAATACTGGTAGTGTAATGTCCTAAAATTACACGTTTTGTACCAATACAGTTTAAAAAAAATACTTACGGAGAAATAGAAAAATGATGTGAAAATAAAAAAATTGACATGTGATGTCACTTCAACATTTTAGTTAATGATTTTGAAAAAAATAAACTTTAGGTATTAAAATGAAAAAAAATGATAGTGTAACTAAACATATAAATTAGCTGACCCTGTTCTCATATGTAATGTGATAAGGGGAGGTAGGGTAATAGGTTGCCCCCAACACCAGGTTGAGAGCAGCTTCTGTGGAAGACCTCCGATTATGAATTGCCTGACTCGATCCCACGACCACAAGGTTAAGAGCCTTGCGTTCTACCAACTGAGCTAGATTGGTTAATATTACTTAATAAGGACATTTTAATTAATTGTGTGTTTAGATACATCACTTAGTGGTATGTTATGGTAAGCAACGTGCGCTCTAGATAGGGATGGGCATGAGTTGAGTTTCGGCAAGTCCGACTTGAAAATTTTATATCTTTCACCAAACTCGAAAAATATATATCCTCCACCCGACCCTATTTTTTGAGATAAAACCTGACCCGAACCTGACCTGACCCGACCCGAAATAATAAAAAAAATAGTATTTTTATTCAATAAAAATAATGATTTAATTGAAAAAAATAATATATAGAGGGTATTATTATAATTATTCTTAAATACATAAGATAAAATTATATTTTTTTCAGGTCAGGTAGGGTTGAGAATTTTTTACCCTAAACCTGAATCTAACCCGACCTGAACATCATCTTTAAAAAACCAAACCCGATCCGAATCTAATTTTTTTTTTAAAACCCGACCTGGTCAGGTCGAGTTGGGTTCGAGTCCCATGCCCATCCCTAGATGTATACTCATCATTTAGCAGTTAAAACAGTTAAATCAATGGTTAGGGGTTATTAAATTTTATAACCGAACTTAACCACTTAATTGACTTAATTATACATTATTTAATTATGTTTATAACATAAAATAGGAAAAATTATGTATTTAGTACCTAAATTATTAGTTTTTATCCGTTTTAATACTTAAAGTTTCAATTTTTTTCAAAACCATACCTAATGTTTAGTTTTTATTTCATTTTAGTACCAATCGTTACAAACTTAATGTGTTTAGTACCTAAACTATCAATTTTGATCCGTTTTAGTACCTAAATTTTTAATTTTTTTTTCAAAACTTAACGTTAAATTTTGAACGGGGTACTAAAATGAAACCAAAACTAAATTTTAGGTATAATTTTTAAAAAATGAAAGTTTAGGCACTAAAATAGGTCAAAACTAAAAGTTTAAGTATTAAACGCGTAATATACCCTATAAAATAATTACAGTAAATGATTTATGCCTAAGGATGGCAACGGGCTGGGTTAGTGGTCAACCTGACCCAACCCGAAAATATGCACCATCAACCTGACCCCGACTCGACCCGAAAAATATATATCATCCACCCGACTCTGACTTCGACCCGATTGTACCCAACCCGATATAAATTAATGATTTAATTAAAATAATAATAATTTTTAAAGAAATTTACATTATTATCCTCGGGACGGGTCGGGTCGAAGTTTTTCACCCTCCACCCGAACTCGACTTCACCCCTTAAAAAATATGACCCAGCCCGAACCTAAATTTTTCTAAAAAATATATGACTCGATCGGATTGAAACCCGTCGGATGCGGGTGAAATTACCATCCCTATCTATGCCTAGTTTAAGCTGGATAAATCATGAGTGTATCTTAAAATCCAAATTCTCTGTAATTATTTATCTATTTTATTAAATATGTTACATTAAAATTGTATTTTTGTCAACTCGAATAAAAAGTTAATGTTGTTAATATATATGTATATGTACTCAATATTTCTAAATTCGCTACGAATAAATATATGGAGTATAAAATTTAGAACAAATCCAACCAGATTAACTTACTTTTTTTATAATTGCCGATATTTGATTTATTGATCGCTTAATCTAGATCAGGTACTGCAGGGACAAGGGTGACTCTCCCAACTCAATTAACTCTATTCACAATCATCAAGATTCGAACATTTGACCTTGCTTAAGAGACGTAATGCAATCTATTCTTCATCACACTGGACCAACTGATTATTGGTACCGGATTAACTTATTTTCTAACATATAAATCTATTTATAAATATATAATAAACGTGGATTACATAGTTGCCAATAATAATTAGATTTATTTTTTCCTTTTTACATAAATTATTGAAAAATTTCTCGTTCAAACAACCATTGAATTTGACGTTTATATATACGTGTTGAATTTTAGTTTTTTATTTTCATTATTTTTAAAAGGGTAAATTATATATTTAGTACTTAAACTATCAGTTTTTATCTGTTTTAATACTTAAACTTTTAATTTTTTTAAAACCATACCTAAAGTTCAGTTTTTGTTTCATTTTAGTACATATTTTTCAAAATTTAATGTTAAGTTTTGAAAAAAATAAAAGTTTAGGTACTAAAATAGAACAAAACGGATAGTTTAGGTACTAAACACAATAAGTTTCTTAACGGTGAGGTACTAAAATGAAACAAAAACTAAATATTTAGTATGGTTTTAAAAAAATTGAAAGTTAAGATACTAAAACAGATCAAAATTAATAGTTTAGATACTAAATTTGTAGTTTACCCTTTTTAAAAATAGAAGAAAAAGCAACAATTATACGACATGGCCGGTTGTGGTCCAAATGTAAAAGGTAAGTCAAAAGAAGCTGACCGGACCAGATTCGTCGGTCGCAACTCGCAATTTAACACAAAGACTCGGTCCATTTGACGGACAGCTGCCGGTTTCTAAGGTAAATTACATGTTTAGTATTAAACTATTAGTTTTGGTTTGTTTGAGTACCTAAACTTTCATTTTTTAAATCATACCTAAAATTTATTCATGTTTCATTTTAGTACCATGTTAAAAACTTAATATTAATTTTTGAAAAAATTGGAAGTTTAGGTACTAAAACGGACCAAAAGTGATAGTTTAGATACTAAATATGTTAAGCTTTTAACAGCAGGATAATAAAATGAAACAAAACTAAACTTTAAGTATGTTTTTGAAAAAAATGAAAGTTTAGATACTAAAATGGACTAAAATTGATAGTTTAATTACTAAACGTGTAATTTACCCAATTTTCTATTGTTCACTATTTTTTATGTGAATTTTATTAGATCATACATTATATATATATGGTTATTTGTATTAAAATAATTGTAATAATATATTATATTTTAAATATAATTATGGTACTTACATGGGTGAAAATTAAATTATTAGTTAATTTAATTATCATTTTATAATTTTTAAAAAAATATTAAAATAATTATTTAAATATAATTAAATTCGAGGGTAAAATATTTAAATGGTCTCCCGACTAGAAGATATTGCTTTATTAAGTCACTTGACTACGAAAAGTTACAAAATAGTCCTTCAACTATAGAATGTTACTTTATTAAGTCTCCAACTATTAAAAGTTACAAAATGGTCACTTAACTATTCATTGCATTTCAAACTCATCATTTTCCGTTAAAAATTGATGGTTATCTAAGTTGGACATTAACGTGAAGGCTGAGATACGATAGTCGTTTGAGATTCTGGTATCAGTTTTTATTATATCATAGTCAGTAAGTTAAGTTCAGCTTAGAATACCGTCAATTTTTTTTAACAAAAAATGACGAGTTTGGAACATAATGAATAGTCGAGTAACTATCTTGTAACTTTTAATAGTCGATGGACTCAAGAAAGTAACACTATATAGTTGAAAGACCATTTTATAACTTTTAATAGTAGAATGACATAATAAAGTAACACCATACAGACGGGGACCATTTATGCACTTAACCCTAAATTAATTTAAAGTACTTTACCCAATTATAAATTGAAAAAGAAAACTCTTTATTAATTTAATTTTGAGTTAGGAAGCATTAGGTTGATTATTGACTTATAAAAATAAATGTTTGTAATTGACTCCATATTTGTTTTTTTATTAACAATTGACTCCATATTTGTTTTTTATTAACAATTGACTCCATATTCAATATCCTTTGGGGCTATTCTTTTGACTTTCTCCACATCCACACATTGTTTACTTTCCATACTTTATTACAAAACAAGCCACGACATAACCACTAGGCCTTGTTTGGTAGTGTAAGATTTTTTCTTAAAATATTTTAGGAATATTATTTCATGCATTTATAGTGGAAAAAAATCTATAAACAATCTATTAAATGTGCATAAATAGTCATGACTATAGTATGTCTTATTGAGTCTTTCGATTATTAGAAGTTATAAAATGATTTCCTGCCTATAAGACGTTGCTTTTTTAAGTCCGCTGACTATTAAAAGTTATAAAATGGTCACCTGAATATTCATTGTGTTCATTTTCCATTAAAAAAAATCGATGACAATTTGAGTTGTGCGTTAACCTTCTGACTGAGATATGATATCATATGAACCCAGAATCCCAAACGACTATCATATCTCAATCAGCAGGTTAACATATAGTTTAAACTACCATCGATTTTTTAACGAAAAGGGACGTGTTTGGAACACAATGAATAGTTGGGTGATCATTTTGTAACTTTTAATAGTTGAGGGACTTAAAAAAGCAACGTCTTATAGTCAATGAACCATTTTATAACTTTCATTAGTCGAATGACTCAAAAAAGCAATACTCTATAGTTGAGGAACCGTTTGTGTACTTTACCCTAATTTTTTTATATACATCTTCTAATCTTACACCACTAACTCCCAAATTAGTAGGGTGATTAAGCCATGTGGTAAGAATAGATTCCTAGAAAGAAAGTAAATTAGGCATAATAAATTAATCATGAGGAGAATTTGGGTTTGCTTTTGTAGTTAATATTGACTCAAAATAATTAAAAATAAAACTTAATAAATCCAATATCCATAGAACTCAACTTTGTTATATAAGGTATTTAATAGCAACTTGATAGTTAGGGGGAAGTGGAGATATATACCATACCCTACTAAATAAATAATAAATACCTTTTATAAGGTCTATTTAATCCTCCAATAATTAGTAATAGTTCTATGGATTTAGAGGTAAGAGGCTAACCTTTCCCTTTATTATTCTAATAAAAAGAGATATTTTCATTTTTTTTCCAAAATGGAATTTCAATGAAATTATTTTATTTCGAATTAGATTTAAAATGTCCATCATACACAAGTCTAATACTACCATAATTAGGGATCGAGTCGGGTCAAATTTTCGGTCCACCCGACTCTATTTTTGAGATAAAATTCGAACATGACCAAAATAATATATTTATTAAAAAATATTTATATTCAATAAAAATAGGGATTTAATTGAAAGAAAATAATATATATAGGGGTGTTATTGTAATTATCCCTAAATATAATGTAAAATTACAATTTTTCGGGTCGGGTATTTTCACCCTAAACCGAACCGACCCGAACATAACTTAAAAAATCCGACCCGATTCGAACCCAATTTCTTTAAAAAAATCTGACCCGATCAGACCAGATCGAGTCGCCCATCCCTAACCATAACCAACAATTCACTATCCAAATCAAAAAGAAATAAAAATGAAACAAAATTAAACTTTAGATATGGTTTTGAAAAAATTAAAAGTTTAGATACCAAAATGAATAAAAAATTTGATAGTTTAGGTACCAAAGGCGTAATTTATCCTAAACAAAATTATAAAGAATCAATTAACCAAACGTTGCTTTGAAGGTGCCTTTGTTCCATCATGGGCACGCAAGTTCCCCCCATCCGCCGAATAAGACCCCACCACCGTCTAAACACGGCGGCGATGGCGTTCTTTGACCCCTTTTTTCTTCTTCCGGGGAAATAGTCAAATGGACCAAATCCCCTTCCAATCCATCCCTATAAATACCCATTTGCCTCTCATTTCTTCCTTCATCAAGCAAAACAACAGTTCCATCTTCACAAAAAGAACCCTTCTTTAATCAGTTCATTTCAGTTTTTCAGACATCAACAATGGTGCTTTCTAAGACAGCTTCTCAAACCGATGTCTCTGTTCACTCAACTTTCGCCTCTCGTTATGTCCGAACCTCACTTCCAAGGTAAACCCCTTGCATCTTTAGTTCTCAAATTCATGTTAAAAGTGTATGCTTTAATGGCGAAAAAACAAGGTGGCTGATTTGTTTAAATATCTGCAGGTTCAAGATGCCGGAAGAGTCGATACCGAAAGAAGCTGCGTATCAGATCATCAACGATGAACTTATGCTCGATGGTAACCCAAGGTTGAACCTCGCCTCTTTCGTCACCACCTGGATGGAGCCTGAATGCGATAAGCTCATCATGGATGCCGTTAACAAGAACTACGTCGACATGGATGAATACCCTGTCACCACCGAGCTTCAGGTCAATATCGAACGGTTCATTGAAATAGCACATTTGTTCAATGCACCACTAGGGGACTTAATCTCTGATAAAAGTTGTACTTGTTGTAATGCAGAACCGATGTGTGAATATGATAGCACATTTGTTCAATGCACCACTAGGGGACTCGGAGACCGCGGTAGGAGTCGGAACGGTCGGATCGTCGGAAGCGATCATGTTGGCCGGCCTTGCATTCAAGAGAAAATGGCAAAACAAGCGTAAAGCCGAGGGGAAACCGTATGACAAGCCGAACATCGTGACCGGAGCCAATGTTCAAGTGTGCTGGGAGAAGTTCGCAAGGTATTTCGAAGTCGAGTTGAAGGAAGTGAAGCTGAGGGAAGGTTACTACGTAATGGACCCTGCTAAAGCTGTGGAAATGGTCGATGAAAACACCATTTGCGTTGCAGCAATTCTTGGATCAACGCTCAATGGTGAATTCGAAGATGTCAAGCTTTTGAATGATCTCCTTGTCGAAAAGAACAAGGAAACTGGGTAAATATCTAAACTTTATGAACTTGAGTAGTTTGAAACAACATCAAAGTACTGAGTTTGATCCTTTTTTATGCAGATGGGATACCCCAATTCATGTTGATGCAGCTAGTGGTGGGTTCATTGCACCATTTTTGTACCCAGAGCTTGAATGGGACTTTAGGCTTCCACTTGTGAAGAGCATTAATGTCAGTGGCCATAAATATGGTCTTGTTTATGCTGGTATCGGTTGGGTTATCTGGAGGAACAAGGAGGATTTGCCTGAAGAACTTATTTTCCATATCAATTACCTTGGAGCTGATCAACCCACTTTCACTCTCAATTTCTCCAAAGGTTCAAGCCAAGTCATTGCTCAGTATTACCAGTTGATTCGATTGGGTTACGAGGTAAGAACGAGATAAAATTATCGTTAATTGTCGCGTCAGTACATGCCATTCGACTTACGATTCGGATTCGATGGTGTTATGTCACAGGGGTACAGGAATGTGATGGAGAACTGTCATGAAAACGCCATGGTCCTAAAACGGGGATTGGAGAAGATGGGGCGGTTCGAAATTGTGTCGAAGGACGAAGGTGTCCCGTTGGTGGCGTTTTCCCTCAAGGACAACAAGCGTCACGACGAGTTTGAGATAGCCGAGATGCTGCGTCGGTTCGGATGGATAGTGCCGGCATACACCATGCCGGCCGACGCTCAACACATCACGGTGTTGCGCGTCGTCATCAGGGAAGACTTCTCCCGTACCCTGGCAGAGCGTCTCGTGATGGACATCCAGAAGGTCCTACACGAACTCGATACGCTCCCCGCCAAGGTGAATGCCAAATTGGCCATGACGGAGGAAGAGCATGGAAAGAACGGCACCACCGTGAAGAAGACCGCCGTCGAAACCCAGAGGGAAATCACTGCTTACTGGAAGAAATTTGTGAGCGAGAGGAACACGAACAAGAACAAAATATGTTAGAGTTTACTATATAATCTTTAATTTATCACTATGTTTCCACCTATTGTTTTATTTTTCAAGCTTAAGAATCATTAATGTAATGGATCTTATTTAGCAATATATTGAAGTTTCAAACCAGAGTTTGATTTAGCATAATGTTGTCTCTGCATGACCATGTTGTCCGGATTAGAGATATAATAGTTCGAGTCGGATCGGATTTATAATTCACTTGATTCGAGTATTATATTCTTTCACTTGTACTCGCATTTGATCTAGGTTTAGAGATTTCATTCAACATAAAATCCATTCAATTTTAAGTTTAAAATTTGTATCCGATCCAACACAAATATATATATACATATAAATTAGGGTTATCTCTTGATATATAAATATAATTATATTACCGTCTCTAGTCAAACCTTTTCATTTAAATTTAAAGTCGACATGATGTCATCCTGAAGAAAAAAAACCCGACTTAAATTTAAAATTTTAAAATAACAATTTTATAAAATCAAATTAAATAAAATTGAAATTCGTTGAATTCAAATCAAATGTCTACCCAGAGCCGTGATAGGGTTTTCGGGGGCCCTGTACAAATTCTTAAAAAGGACCCCCTATTTTTTAGATATATTCGATTTCGGGGTAACAATAGTGGTGTTTTCTTGACAAACGCCGCAATAGATCCATCTATAATGGCGTTTTATCAATAAAGCCGCAATAATAGTGACGTTTTTTTTTGAAAAAACGTCGCAATAAGTCCATTTATAGTGATGTTTATTGGAAAAAACACCACTATATATATACTTTTTTGGGGCCCATTTTTTGGGGGCCTTGCGCAGTCACGCAGTTTGCGCCTCCCCAACCACGACCCTGTGTCTACCTAAACCCGAACTTCGGGTAAAGTACAAAAATAGTCCATTGATTATAGGATATTGTTTTATTAAGTCCATTGACTATTAAAAGTTACAAAATGATCTTTTGACTATAGAGTGTTGCTTTGTTAAATCCTTCGACTATTAAAAGTTATAAATTGGTCGTCCGACTATTGATTACGTTCCAAACTCGTCCTTCTCCGTAAAAAAATTGACGATTTTGAGGTTAAGCCTTATCATATCACAAAATAGTTAATATATTAATGTCTAACTTGGAATACTATCAATTTTTAACAGAAAATAATAAATTTAAAACATAATAAATAGTCGAATAATCATTTTCTAATTTTAATCACCGAAATACTCAACAAAGCAACCCAACACTCTAATGTTTAATAAATATATGCCACGTATACGTTTCCCCCTTGTTATAATATACTTGAAAGATACTTCCATCATAGTGGAGCACATCATTAATTGTCTCAAAGCATGCCAAAATATTTAACTAACTTAAGATTTTATGCATAAGCGTTCACATTGCCACCTACCCTATGTTTATTAGGCCTACATTTTTATAAGTAAAATTTTAAATAAAATCTTTTATCTCGACTCGATGCGAAATAATAGTATAATAATTTTTATATTTAAAAATAATTATAATAATATTTTTATTTATATTTTTCTTCAGTTAGATATCTATATTATCAAATAAAAATAAGATTTTCTTATTTGTGTTTGATTGAGTTAGGGGTAAGTTTTTATCCAAAAAAATCATATCGAATTTGAAGTGTAATAAAACTTTCCTAAACTTGTATCAAATTAAATTACTTATGAATAAATATAATATCGAGTTCGTATCGATCAAAACTCAACCGACATAGCCAAGTTATCTCTAGTTATATATATAAATAAAGGAAATAACATTTGATTTATTAATCCTAGTTTTAAACGAAATCGATGGAATCTGATCTGACTCGATTTGATAGGATTGAATTTTAAAAAAAATGGGTTCAAGTCAGATTTTTTAAGGGAGTAAGGTCGGGTCAAGTTGAGATCTAGTGGATGATATATGTTTTTGGGTCAGATCGAGTGGATGATATATAATTTTTGAGTCAGATCGAATTCGAATGGAGTATATATATTTTCGGGTCAAATAAGATAGACTAAAACTCGATCCGTTGCTATCCCTAAACATAATATAAGAGAGTAACATCCTTTCAATGGGAACATAGGACTAATGGTCCAAAATATCATTACATCTTGAATAATCAAAGGGGGAAGAACAATCCACCATATTCTTCCACTTAAGATCCCCACACCCACCGCACTAAGCACAAATTTCACCACCTCACAGGCTTAACATGTTTATAAATATGCATTATCTTGTGCCATCCAAATGCAAGTGTCGAAACAAGAGTGAATCCAGCATAGCGTAAACAAAGACTCGACATGGCTTTCAGCTCAAAACCTTGTTGCTTCGTTGTCCTGTTCGTGTTTATGGTAAGTTTCGATGCATTGGTTCGAGACGTCGGTGCGGCCGGCGGTGCGTGCGGGAGGACCCCAATCAGGTCCGCTGCCGCGAGTTTAAGCCCGTGCTTGGGCGCGTCTCGGAATGCCAGGGCTAAAGTCCCGCCTGCATGCTGCGCCAAGGTGGGTGACTTGATCCGGGCTTCACCGAGGTGCCTTTGTGCCATCTTGCTATCGCCATTGGCAAAGCAGGCCGGGATCATGCCCGGGGTCGCTATCGCCATCCCCAAACGATGCAACATTCGGAACAGGCAAGCCGGCAAAAAATGTGGAAGTAAGTACCTTTACTCACTAGTATTGTATCGGTATTCATGTCATTAATCGAATTCTTATGATCTCAAGGCTAACTATCAACATTTTGACAATTTACAGGGTACATCGTCCCATAAGAGAGCATGCATGAAGGAGGAAAATGGGTTATTTCACTCTTAGTTATGATAAATAAAGTATTGTTGCTGCATTATTGGGTGATTCACCCATTAAGGCACTTCGTCATACTATATATGCAATCTTGAGTGTTAGATCTCTCGAGGTAATAGCTTCACCGTGTTTGTTTTTGTGTACGTTCACCTTCTATTATATATTAATGAATAATAATTGTTCTTAAATATAAACCTCTCTCCATGCATGCAAAACAATGCATATTCATAATAGGTTAAACGGGTTTAGAATATTTCTTACTCATTAATAAAACACACATCCAATACGAGTACAATTATTTAAACTCGAGACATATAAGAATAACATAAAACAATCATTCCATGTACAAAATACAATGTGGCTAACACAAATATCCGGTGAAAAAGGTTTTGCCCCACATAACTCTCATCAATAGTTCATCTTGTGCTTATCCTCCTTGTGTGTTGCTGAAATGCTGCACATTCTCAATGGACCGCAGAAGCATGCCAATGTATGGACCCTCCAAGGATTTTAATAAGAGGGTCAAAGATGATAAAAGGACCCTCCAATTAAATGGACACACTATATTTTTGGATAAATTACACATTTAGTATCTAAACTATCAACCTTGATTTGTTTTAGTATCTAAACTTTCGATTGTTTCAAAATCATAAATACGTTTAGTTTTTTGTTTCATTTTAGTAATGTGTCGTTAAAAATTTAACGAAACTTTTGCATGTGACATTTTTTATGGGCAAATTACATTTATTCATCTCTTAACTATCTTCTCACTCATATTTTGGTCATTAAAGTTTAAATTTTTTAATTGAAGTACTCAACTTTCAAATTGCTTGTGTTTTAATTACTCTAATTTATGTTATTAATAATATTTTGTGACATGATGTTTTTTTATTATTTTATTATATATAAGTAAAAAAAAATCAAATTTGAAAGTTAGAGTGATTAAATTAGGAGAAATTTAAAAGTTAAGTAATTAAATAAAAAAAATTAAACTTCAATGACCAAAATAGGAGTGAGAAGATAGTTGAGTGGTGAATGATGTAATTTACCCATAAAAAGTGCCAAGTTGTAACAGTTCCACTAAGTTCTTAACGGTGGGTACTAAAATGAAACAAAAATTAAACGTTGGCTATGATTTTGAATTTTTTTGAAAATTTAAGTACTAAAATAGACTAAAACTGATAGTTTATGCACTAAATGCGTAATTTACCCATTTTTTAACAAATTGAAATATGTTCGAAATTTCTTAAATTATTGCAAGATAAACACTATTAGAACAGACAATATTTAATAAAATATGATTTGAATGTACGAACTATAATAATATTTATTCAAAACGACCCCCACAATGGAGACGATGTGCAAAGGCAAAATTCAATGGAAAAGTTGCCAATAGGAGAAACGGTTGGTGACCATATCAGAAGGAATTGAAAATAGAAAGAAAAAAAAAGCTGTAATTTGAATTATGTCTACCCATTTGTCCTTATTTTAATTTTGGGAAAAATATATTGAAGGTTATTGAGTTATGCTCTTATATTCATTTTGGTCACTACTTTTAAAAGTCATATGCCTAACTATCGTAAAATGATAACACATAATGTTATAACAATTGTAAAAGCTTATTAAATTTAGTCTTGAAATTTATCATTTTCGTCCTTATCATTTTATTACATCAATTTAGCACTCGAAATTATTTAAGGTGTTCATCTTAGCCCTCAAAATTCGTTTTGACTAACAGAACCGTTAGTCTTATGCGATTATCAACACCGATAATTCCCAGATCAACCAATATTATTGACATGGCTTGGTGGTGACGTGATATGTATTAGAAAAATAAATAATAAAATATTTAAAATACTTACTAAATACAACGGTTAGGGAAAACCCCCCAAAAATTTATCCTAATCCCTTAATCTCACTTAAATAAGTAATAAAATTTTGGGAATTTGTTCTAATTATTGTGTTTAATAAATATTTTAACATAATATCTTAATTCACATACAGAGAAGATCGACAGTTCTGTTAGCCAAAATGGTCAATGAACTTCAGAGGCTAGGATAAATACCTTGAACAACTTCAAGGGCTAAATTGATGCAAAAACGATAGGGACAAAATTGACAGAGTAAGATTACTATAAGGACAAAAGTGACCCTTAAGTCTTAACTTTAATTATTATTTTATAATAATTTGATAAAAGGGTAATAATTTTTCATATTTATTAAAATTTAATGATGAAAATGATCATTTGAGCATAATTTAATGACCTAAAATTTATTTCACCTTTATTTTGTAATCTTCAAACAATAACTTTACCTTTATACATGTAAAACAACAGCATATGATATCATAACTTTTGCAATTATTTAGTCCCCCAAGTACCAAACCCCACATTTTATGATTAAAATTCCAATCCCCAACTAATTTTGCAGAAAGAACAGAAGCCAAGTTTCATATCCCAAGAAAAACACACACTTTTGTTCCCTCTCTCATTGCTGTTGACTGATCATGTAATCTACAGTAAGAATGGAACCTTTGATGTGTTTTTAAAATATTTTCTTAGCTATTTAAGACAGGCCTTAGCCCCCAACATGGGTGAGTTTAAGTTCAACTCCATGGCTTATTACACTACTAACAGCAGCAGCAGCATCAATGGCACTTCCCTAGGTTGGGATCTTCAAAACCTCGGAGTTGTCAACGCAGACATGCCTTTAGGTATACAAATTACAAAACTACACGCTTTTGCTTTTGTTTTTTACTCGGATGATGTTGTGTTTTTCTTGATGTCGTGTTCTTCTGGGGAACTGGATTTCTGCAGATTTCTCTTCTGGGTATCTCGAAGATGCTTTGCTTGAATTCACCGAACGATCCAAACGAAGAAGACTGTTGTTGTACAACGATGATGATCATGGTGAAATCAGTGGTTTCAATGATCTTGCAATGGTAAATTTTTTGTTCTTGAATCTTTATTAGTTTCTTGTTCTTTATTTACCATTCTTATTTTTCACTTTTCACTGTCATCGTCATGCAGCAAGGATGCTGGGATTATAGCTGCAACTGGGGCCTCTCTGAAGATTTCACCTGCATCAATGGCGTTTCAGGTAATGATTCATGAGAATTTTCACCATGCACGTCAATCAAATCATGTTTACAATTTTCTATCATGTACAGATCAGATGAAAACAACAGATGCTTTTGATTCGTCGTCGTCTTCTTCATGCAAGCTCTCGGCTGTGAAAACCAAGTCGTTTTCTTCCGGAAACGAAGATAAGACGAAGATGAAGAAGAGGGTGATAACGAGGGTTGTTTATCCATTCGCATTGGTTAAGCCCGGCGGCGTCGAAGGCGATACGACTCTGAATGACATTAACGAAAGGATTCTAATGCCGCCGTCGAGGCCTGTAAGGCACCCGGTCGGCGACTTCGCTTGTCGGCCATGCGTATCGGCCGATGGTCCCGGCCTCTCCGGTAAAGATGTTGTGGCCCTCACCAAAATACACACCCAAGGGAGAGGCACCATCACCATTATTCGAACCAAAGGTTAGGGAAAATTGTATAGGATAGGGCTTGTATGAATGGTGAATCATGCATGCATGTAAAACATCATGTTATCATCCATTTTTCAGACTTAAACTTGTTCTTTTTCGTAACAACAACGATGTTAATCGAACTAAGGCTCGATGTGTTTCATGTTTAAGTTTAGATTTGTACTTTTGAGTGAAAAAGACTTGTGCTTTGAACCAAATGGGACGTGAAGAAGAAGCAAGAAGAAAGAAGAGATGGGGTAAAAAGAAAGGAAAAGGAAAAGCTATGGGAATTATTGCTTTATTTCCACATTTTGTTTTGATGAAGACACCAAACCAAAGGGCTAAATTTTAGCTTTTGTGCCCTTTGGTGTCTTCAAATATATCATGAATCTTGACCATCTATCTATGAAGCCATTTTTGTTAACTTCAAGCAAATTCACTTGAGAAAGGTCTAATCTTGAGAAGATCACTCTTGAAGTTTCGAAAAATATAAAATGATCATTAAACTTATAAAAACGATTCTTAAACTTATCAAAAATTATGATTTTTTTTTATAATAGAGTGAAGTATACAAATGGTCTTTTGACTATATGATATTGTTTTGTTGAGTATCAAATGTTACAAAATGGTCCTCTGACTATAGAGAATTGCTTTGTTGAAATACTTAACTATTAAAAATTACAAAATAGTCATCTGACTAGTCATTATGTTTCAAACTAGTTCTTTTTGTTAAAAATTTAATGACATTAACACGTAGATTGAGATATAATAATATTTAATCTCAGAACAAACGGCTATCATATTTTAGTGAGCATGTTCATGTCCAGTTCAGACGGTCATTAATTTTTTAACGGAAAAAGATGAGTTTTAAATATAATAAATAGTCAGGGGATCATTTTATAATTTTTAATAATCAAATTCAACAAAACAATATCCTATAGTCAAAGATCGTTTTGTAATTTTTAATAATTAAATGACTAAAAAAGATAATATATTTATTATTGTTTGGTAGGTCAATACTCAATAGTCAATACCCACCCATTTGCTGCCTCACTTACCTACAGACAAGAACAGTAAAACTACTTTGGACCCCAAAAGTAAACCTAATATGTCACCCAACCATATCATTGTTCTCACCTGCACCTGAAATCAGGACCATTCATTTCCTTTGACTCCTCAATGTGGGAATTATCATGCAAATCCAACGGCTCTGATGAGAGGCAGAGCAAGGGTTATGAGAGTGAGGGAAAGTACTTGATTTCTCACAGCTGTAAGGCAAAGGAAAGTGGAATGATGGAGATTTAGGGTTTTACTTCTTTACAATATAATATTAGAGAGGACCCATTAAGATTTTTCGTAATTATTTTATTAATTTGAATTTTAAACTTAATTCTGTTTTGATCACTAGAAATGAAAGGGTGACATAGACATGTGTAAATTAGGATAAATTAAAAATTTCATCACTCAACTTTCTTCTTACTCCTATTTTGATCATTGAAGTTTACAAATTTTCAATTTACTCATTGAACTTTTGATTTACTCCTACTCTAGTCATTCATATATTAAATCATAAATGGAAGGGTGACACCATAGACATGGGTGCCGATGTGAACTCCCTTTTTTTTACATGCAATTCAGGTGTCATCCACGCTATTTTCTTTTTTTTTTCCTTTTGATTTCATCTTCTTCATCCAAAGATAAAAATTGTACACTTTTCATCATTGTGTAACGTCTATATTGTAATTACCATTCTATGGTGTCTTCTCTCACCACTCAAGAAACATACAAACTCTCCTCAACGTCTCTTACCACTTTATCAGTTTAAATTTTCTCAAAATTACTTTAGAACCCATAAAACTCAACCCCAAATCTAAAAGTACTCATAAAACCCTAAACAAATATAATTTATAATATCCACTATTCGATAAACATTAAATTAAGATATACAACTTGCTTCCTTCTTCTCCATCTCCCCATTGTTGAGATTTGAAAAAAAAAAGAAGATGATTCATTGTCGAGAAATCAAAAGTAATATGAAATCATGAGTTTTTTTTCCCACAAAAATGAAGAAAGTTTGAGGAGCATTTCATAAATTTTAAAATAAAAATGTACACTCATAATGTCGTTAAGTATTTAACGACGAAGTAACCAAAATAAGAATAAATGAGTAAATTGAAAAATTTTAAAGTTTAGTTACCAAAATAGTTATCAAAATAGAATTGAGAATAAAGTTAAGTGAAAATAATTTACAATTTACCCAAGAAGATCAGATTCATAGATGAATGTGGATCAAATGATATTCAAGAACGAATCTAAGAAAAAATACCGAGCCCTTTATAGTCTAATCATGTTTTTAAGGTAATTTCTTAAGGTTAAATAACATGTTTTTGTTTTTATAATAATACTATTATTTTAAAGGGTGAAGCGTACAAATGGTCCTCCGACTACAGAGTGTTGCTCTGTTGCGACTATAGGATGTTGCTTTGTTGAGTCCACATACTGTTAAAAGTTACAGAATGATAACCTAACTATTCATTATGTTCTAAATTCGTCATTTTTTGTTAAAAAATATGGAAGTTTGGGTTGGATGTTAATCTACTGTCCGAGATATAATAAAATCTGATCCTAGAATCTCAAATGAGTATCATATCTCATACAATATATTAACATCCAACTCAGATTGTCGTTATTTTTTTAACGGAGAATGATGAGTTTGGAACATAATGAATAGTCGGGTGACCATTTTATAACTTTTAATAGTCGATGGACCATTATGTTAGGCACATGTATGGTAATTGGTGATGGTACGCTTACTCCGGCAATCTCGGGTATGTTTCCGGATTTATTTCTTTGCAAGTATTCGAGTATTTTTGTTCTTGACTTGCAAATGTTTTGATAGTGTTGTCTGCAATGGATGGACTTAGAGCACCGTTCCCTTCTGTCAGCAAATGTAAGAATTTAAGCTTTCTGAAGGCATAAATGGATGGAAGGCGTCTACGTGAGTGCGTTTTTGACTAAAATTCCCGAAGGCGGATGGAGTCCATTTGCCATATCCATTATTCTCGCCTTCATCATGTTAGGTTGGTACTATGGGAGATGGAGGAAGATACAGTATGAACTAACTCACAAGATCGACCTGGGAGTGCTATTATCAGACACGAGCGTGCAAAGGGTTCCTGGATTGTGTTTCTTTTACTCGAACATACAGAACGGGCTGACTCCGATCCTCGGACATTATATTAAAAACACGAGATCGCTTCATAAGGTCACCATTTTCACAACACTTAGATATCTACTGGTCCCCAAAGTTGCTCCACAGGAGAGGATAGTGGTGAAAAAGTTAGGCCTCAGAGTAGTTTACGCATGTGTGATTCAATACGGTTACGCAGACTCTCTAAACCTCCAAGGAGACGACTTTGTTGGTCAAGTCATGGATAGCTTGCGAGTGCATATCGAAAACAGCTCCGGTTGTTTACCCTCGGATCTTACGCTGGGTCGGGAAGAGATCTCCGAACTGAGAGAGGCTGAAATCGCAGGCGTAATTCATGTTCTAGGAAAAGCAAGGTTTTACATAGGCAAGAACACAAGCCTGTTTGATAGATTAATGCTTGCCTTCTATGAAGTGTTGCACAATAACTGTAGGTCGGCACTGCCTGCTCTCGGCGTGCCGCTGCCGCAGCGTCTCGAGGTCGGAATGTTTTACGAGGCTTGATCGGATCATTTCGGTTATGTTAGTTAGTGTAGGATAATACCAAATGTGAAATATAATCTTCTATTGATAAGTTATTTAAGATCTATTTTTTCCTCGACATTACAAGTGAAAGTGTTTTAAGATTAAGGGTAAAATACATTTTAGTACTTAAACTATCAGTTTTAGTTCGTTTTATTAGTTAAATTTTTAATTTTTTTAAAAATCATACATAACATTTAGTTTTTATTTCATTTTAATATTTGTTATTAAAAACTTAACGAGTTTAATATCTAAATTATCAGTTTTTGTTTGTTTTAGTATTTAAACTTTTAATTTTTTTTCCTTCAAAATTTAGCATTAAATTTTCAACAGTGTACTAAAATGAAATAAAAATTAAATGTTTGATATGATTTTGGAAAAATTGAAAGTTTAGGTATTAAAATATAATGTTTGAAACACAATGAAAAGGACATGTTTGGAATAAAATGAATAGTCGGATGATCATTTTGTAACTTTAATAGTCAAGTGATCTAAAAAAGTAATGTCTTATAGTCGAAGAATTATTTTATAATTTTTAATAGTTAAAGGCTTTAATAAAACAACACCCGGGATCATTTACGTACTTCACTCGAAATAAAATATTAATAAAAGATAATTAAAAAATAATTTAAACATTCGATTTTATAACTAAAAAACTGTAAAACCATTACTCATTTAACTCATTTTCTTAATTAGGAGGATAAAATTTGACTCGATTTGAAAAATTAATTTTTTTTTAATTTGACTCGACTTGAAAAAAATTGACTCATATTGATTTCGAGTTATAATTTCATAAACTCGACTCGACTTGAAAAAAATTCAAATTCAAATAGAGTTGTAAAATACAACTCGAATAACTCGAAATTTTTCGTAATTAATAGATTATTTTCAAGTTTGAATCAAAATTTGAGTCGAGTTCATCGACTTTATATGTATATATAAACCTCATATGAAAAATATATCTATTATATATGATTATAAAATTCATTTAAATTAAAATCAAATAATATAATAATATTATAAATATTTACAATTAAATTTAAATATAAACTCAAAATTTTGACTCGGATAAAACTTCCTACACGCCTGTTCCATTTCCTCTCCTTCGACCCAAAATGAAATCCATCGGCGCCAATTTTCCGGCGGTTTTAATCCTCGGAGTTTTGGTTCTCTCTTGTCTTTCCCACGTTAGATCCGACGCCTCTGACCACCGCTACAAAGAAGGTGACCCCGTCCCTCTCTACGCCAACAAGGTTGACCCACAACCCCAGGTAGTTAATCAACCCTTTCTTCTTCACTGGGTCTGAAAGTTACTTGCTTTCCGATTCAATGCCTTGGTTCCCGTTTTCATGGCACCCACGTTTGGAACATTTAGAGCTCGAATTTCATTACGTTTAGCATTTTTGTTGTCTTTTTATGCTTTGGGTTTATTCTTAAATTTGGAATGCTTTGGTTTTGTTTGTTTGATTGCAGTGAAACCTATCGCTATTTTGATCTTCCCTTTTGTTCCCCAGGTTCGTTATTTTTAGAATTAGATCTTAAGAAATTTAATTTAGATTCTTAATGAAGCGGCGGTTGCTTTTTAATGTATGATTTAGATCATGTAAAGGAGAAGACAGAAGCATTGGGTGAGGTATTGAATGGAGATCGACTCGTTAGTGCGCCTTATAAGTTGAATTTTAGAGAGGAAAAAGATTCATCTGTTGTATGTAAGAAGAAGCTTTCCAAGGATGAGGTTGCGTCTTTTCGAAAGGCGGTCGACAAAGATTATTATTTCCAAATGTACTACGACGATTTGCCGATATGGGGTTTATCGGCAAAGTTGATAAGGAAGGGAAGGCCGATCCGAGCGAGTATAAGTATTACCTTTACAAGCATATCCAGTTTGATGTGCTTTATAGCAAGGATCGCGTTATTGAGATCAGTGCGAGGATGGATCCACATTCGCTCGTGGACTTACCCGAGGATAAGGAGGTTGATGCTGAGTTTATGTACACTGCGAAATGGAAGGAAACAGATACACCCTTTGAGAAGAGGATGGACACGTACTCCATGTCTTCTTCTCTGCCGCATCATTTGGAGATCCATTGGTTCTCGATTATCAACTCTTGTGTGACGGTCCTGCTTTTGACAGGATTCCTTGCAACGACTCTCATGAGGGTCTTGAAGAACGATTTCGGTAAGTGAGATCCATTATATTTTTTATATATGTATATTTCGTTTCGGTTGTTGGTTGCTATAAATATTTGATTTGTTACGAAAGGTATGGTCAAGATGAAGAAGCCGCCGATGACCAAGAAGAGACTGGATGGAAGTATATTCATGGAGACGTATTCTGTTTCCCAAAGTACAAATCTCACTTCGCTGCTTCTCTCGGATCTGGAGCACAGCTTTTCACTTTGTGAGAATCCCACTTGTGCTGTATAGCCTGTATTTATGTTACTTTCAGATATTTGAACCAACTTTTAATACATTATGATCTGTATGTCGATTATTCGATGTTCCTGTCTCTAATTTATTTGAACCTTTGCATGTCTCGTAGAATGGTATTCATTTTTATGCTTGCATTGGTTGGTGTCTTTTATCCATACAACCGAGGAGCTCTGTTTACTGACCTGGTGGTCGTATACGCTCTCACGTCGGGGATTGCAGGATACGTAGCAACTTCTTTCTACTGTCAGCTCGAAGGGATGAACTGGATTAGGAATCTGTTATTGACTGTCTGCCTTTTCTGTGGACCCTTGTTTCTAATATTCTACTTCCTTAACACGGTCGCTGTTGCATACAACACAACCGCCACACTACCTTTTGGAACTATTGTCGTAATAGTCCTCATATGGACACTCGTGACGTCTCCGTTGCTTGTTCTGGGTGGTATTGCTGGCAAAAATAGCAAGGCTGAGTTCCAAGCTCCTTGCCGCACCACTAAGTATCCCCGGGAGATTCCACCGCTGCCTTGGTACAGGAGTGCCGTTCCTCAGATGGCAATGGCCGGGTTCCTTCCGTTCAGCGCTATCTACATCGAGCTTTACTACATATTTGCCAGTGTTTGGGGCCACAGGATCTATACCATATACAGCATCTTGTTTATCGTCTTCATAATCCTTCTGATTATTGTCACTGCTTTCATAACTATTGCCTTGACATATTTCCAACTTCCTACTGAAGATCATGAATGGTGGTGGAGGTACATACATAAATTCGATATTTCTGCATTCGTCTCCCTATCGCTCTTTGCTTTGCGAGTTCGACATAGTCTTATCTTGTGCTGTTAATTCGTAACAGGTCTTTCCTCTGCGGTGGATCGACGGGTATCTTCATCTACGCCTACTGCTTGTATTACTACTATGCACGATCTGATATGTCCGGTTTCATGCAAACCTCGTTCTTCTTCGGCTACGTGGCCTGCATCTGCTATGGATTCTTCCTCATGCTCGGGATGGTGGGTTTCCGTGCCTCACTCCTCTTCGTTCGTCACATATACAGGTCTATCAAGTGCGAGTAGCGGGTATCGTCATCGGTTGCCGTTTTCCGATCAATCGTGGTAGAAGAAATTCGATGATTTTTGTTAGAAATTAACCGGAGAGTGCCGTTCTGATCATGCCTAATGGGAAAATCATGTGCTTATTAGAAATATATTTGGATTGCATGTAATCAATGTCCACGTGGCATATTTGTCTTAGGTCGCTGTTACTTATTATACATCTTCGGCTCTTTTCATAAAAAGGTAAACAGACCATGGGGTCACCTAACTATTATCAAGTTTTTGTTATGGCCATTTACTTTTTCTTTTTGATAAATTTGTCATTTATGTTACATTTTTATTCTAAAAGCACAAGCCATTAAAATAAAAATAGAGATGGTGATTTGATATAGTATGATGATAATTCTAATTTTATAAATTTATAGGTTCTATTAATTTTAGTTTTTATATAAAAATAATTTTAATAACTAAGCTTAATATAAAAATAAGTGTCTAAATTATGTTTCGAAAAATGTTTTAGTACCTAAAGAGTTTTTCGCTAAAAATAGATGTCTAATATTTTTTAGTTACAATTTTAGGTGCCCGACATCAACCATCGTTAAGAATCCATGTCAAGTGACATGTGTCATACTAGTAATTTTGGAATTTTTTATTTAAAATAAAAAATATAATTAAAACCCTTTTTTTAAATCTTAAAAAACCCTAAAACTTTTTTAAAAAATTCATTTTAATCCCTTTGCCAATACTGGTCGCCACCAACATCGTCAACCGGCTGAACACCTAATGACATTTGACCGGCCAACCACCCACGACCAAAATTTCCATGCTTTCGCACCCGATTGAACACCTAAAAATTGTGTAATTGAAAATTTTTGTTTTAGGGTTTCTAAACCATAAAAATCGCTTAGATCGATCGTTGTAATCGGTCATTTGATCGGATGTGACACGTGTTACTTAACGGAGTTTTTTAACGGCAGTTAACGTCCGAGCACAAAAAAATAGTAACGAAGCAAACAATAGACATATATTTTTAACGAAAAATTTTTTAAGCACTAAAATATTTTTCAATGCATAATTTAAACATTTATTTTTATATTAAGCATAATAATAACTAAATGAGATGGTAATGTAATGTGACATTAAACTTGTTATCTTACTCTCATATCGATCTAAGTTTACTTTGTATCATAAAAAAGTACATTTAAAATTCTATAATTAGATATCTACTTTAAAATCATTATATTAATAATTTAATTATTAAATATAAGGGTAAAGTATATAAATGATCCCTGATTATATTGTACTATTTTATTAAGTCCTTTGACTATTAATCATTATAAAATGATCATCTGATTATAGAATGTTGTTTTGTCGAGTCCTTCGAATATTAAAAGTTACAAAATAGTCACCAAACTATTGATTATATTTCAAACTCATCATTTTTTGTTAAAATATTGAAGGTCGTCTGAGCTGAATGTTAACATAATGATTAAAATATAATAGTTGTTTGAGATTTTAGGATCATATTTTATTATATCACAACTAATAAGTTGACGTTCAACTCAAATATAATTTATGAGATATATTTGATGAAGAGAAATGATAAAATATAATTTATCGTACTCAAATAATAGTGTTTATTGGTTCAATCATGTTGCAGTTGATAACATTCACTTATTAGTTCGAGCCCAAGGACGGACGCATGATTTTATGTTAGGAAAAGTGAACTTGAATTTATAAAATTTTAGGGGGGGCAAAAACATATTTTCAGTAAAAATATATAAAAAAAATCTAAAGTATATGATATTTTAGATTTTTAGAGCAACATTCTGTAGTCGAATGATCATTTTATAACTTTTAATAATCTACAGACTTAATAAAATAATATCTTATAACGAGGAATTATTTGTATATTTTACTTTAATAATAATAAAAGTATTAATAGTAACGGTAGTGTGTGAGACGTGAAACCCACTTGACATGTGTTTATTTTAAATAGAAAAATTTCAAATGAGAACAGATAAATAAAATTACAATACCTGTAGATACTAAGAAAAGTGAAAGATGAAGCAAATGATGTGAACAATCATGGATGATCATACATACATACATACATAAACAATAGTTGTTCATAGACATGGAAGTTGGAACAAAAATGGAGTCCAAGGAGAACAAAACAAGGCCAGAGTTAAGCATCCCAAGCTTCCCTCTCGGTTCAACCGGCGATCAACGTATCCCCCTATTAGGCTTCGGCACAGCTGAATTCCCTTTCGGTGCTTCCAACGCCACCCTGAAACACACGATCGTCGACGCCATCCGACTCGGTTACCACCACTTCGACACGGCTGCGATCTACCAGACCGAGCAGCCTCTAGGTGAAGCAGTCGCCGATGCTCTTGGTCTGGGGCTAATCAAGTCCCGAGATGAACTCTTCATCACTTCCAAGTTCTGGTGCAGCGATGCTCACCGTGACCGTGTCGTCCCTGCTCTCCGCAAAACGCTCGAGTATCGATAAATGATAACCCTTTGTTCCATTGATGTTTTTCACTATGATTCTTGTTATCGGTTTGTTAATTGCTTGTTTATTTTGAATAGGAATTTGAAGGTAGAGTATCTTGATCTGTATCTTTTTCACTGGCCATTAAGCTTGAAGCCTGGAAAATATGAGTTTCCGTTCGAGGAAGAAGACATTGTTCCTCTTGATCTAAACTCTGTGTGGGAAGCAATGGAGGAATGTAAAAATCTTGGCCTAACCAAATCTATAGGGGTAAGCAATTTATCATGCAAGAAGCTCCAGATCATCCTTTCCACTGCCAAAATCCCACCTGCTGTGAACCAAGTAAGGATCACTTCAATTTCTAATGTTTTTCATTTCATCAATGGCGGATTTGTCTATGAATTGATGGATGGGGTGAAACTGTGAAAGGTGGAGATGAACCCTATGTGGCAACAGAAGAAACTGAGGGACTTTTGCAAGGAGAAGGGCATATTTGTGCAGGCTTACTCTCCGTTGGGGGCCAATGGAACGGCGTGGGGAAGCGATCGGTTGATCGAATCCGAGATACTCAAAGATATTGCTCAAGCCAAGGGGAAATCAGCTGCTCAGGTTTGCTTGAGATGGGTGTATGAACAAGGAGTATGTGTAATTGTGAAGAGCTTCAACAAGGAAAGGATGAAACAAAACCTTGAAATCTTCGATTGGGAGCTCAGTGATGATGATTTGCATAAAATTAGCCAACTTCCACAGTGCAAAGGATATGCAGCTGAACATTTTCTGTCAGATAATGGTCCTTACAGGTCTGTTCAAGACTTCTGGGATGGAGAGATTTGAGTTCTTCGATTCGAAATAATAAGTGAAATGAAACCTGTCGGTATGAACAGATGGATTTTCTTCTGCAACATGAATTGTCTTCCATCTATGCTATAAGCTCTTATCGTTTGCATAAGCAAAAAACAATAAGCTCATATAATATTACATTAACCATAATGATCAAATAAAACATTACCTTATTGTTCAAGCACTGTTGCTGCTTCCATTGGCTGATCCAGGCATCAGCTCTCTTAGCAATGCCACCACCTGCAACATGTTAGGCCTTTTCGAAGGAAAGTCGTCGACACATTGCAGTGTTATCTCCAAGTACCTCATCATCTCTTTAACTTCTTCGGCTTCGGCTTCGTCGGTTCCTTTAGTCGCCAGCAGTATTTCGGGGTCTATCACTTCCATGTGTTTTTGTTCCCTCACCTTCATTTTTACCCACCCCACCAAGTTGGTGTCCCCAAAGTCCTCTTTATCGGTCGGGCGCTTTCCGGTCAAGAGTTCCAGGAGGACGACTCCTAACGAATAGATGTCTCCCTTTGCTGTGCATCTGAAACTTTGATAGTATTCCGGTGGGACATAACCGGGTGTGCCTGCAAGTGTGCTTACACTTAAGTGAGTGTCAAGGGCACTTATGAGCCTTGCCATTCCGAAATCTGAGACCCTGGCTTCCATTTCATGGTCTAATAACACATTGCTTGACTTCATGTCTCTATGAATAATATGAGGGATGCAGTTGTGGTGGAGGAAACAGAGTCCTTTCGCTGCACCCCGAGCGATCTTTTTCCGTTCCTCCCATGTTAATATCCGTCGATCTCTCGCCTTTTCTCTTCCGTGGAGCATTTCTTCGAGACTGCCGTACTCCATGAACTCATACACAAGCAGCCTTTCCTCTCCTATCATGCAGTACCCCAACAATGGCACGAGATTTTTGTGCTTTATCTTCCCTAACGTTTCCATTTCAGCCATGAATTCTCGATCGCCCTGGCAGCTCAATCGAATGAGTTTCTTGATTGCGACACTGGAACCGTCCTTCAAAGTGGCTTTGAACACTTCTCCGAACCCGCCGCTACCTATAAGACTTGCTGCTGAGAACCATTTGTAGCCTCAATGAGTGTGGAGAACTTTAGCTTCCTTAACTGTCTCTGAAACGTTGCGACATTGATGCTCAGCGGTTCTCTCTTTCTCGATCTTCCATGTCGTAGCCGCATGAACTGCTTGCAATCTGTTAAGCATCTTGACTTCCTCGACTCCCCTCCGCCTCGCGCGCATCGCAATCGCCCATACAATCAAAACGCATATAGATGCAATGGAGATAAGGATCCCAAGGACAATGCTATTAGCCCATGAAGCAGCAGCAGCCTTCCTACTTCTTTTGCCATCTAAATCTGAGCTTGTAGGAGCTTGGTTGTTTCCATTTCGACATTCGGGCAATGGAACTCCACAAAGTCCTGGATTATTAGCATACTGAGTTGCTGGAAGTGTACTCAGCTGACCCCTTTGCGGAATCGGACCGGTTAATTCATTATAAGACAAGTCGATCTGCACCAGAAAAGATAAGTTGGAGAACGACTCTGGGATTTGGCCCTGCAGCCTGTTATGTGATGCATCAAACACACCTAAATTCCTCAGCTGGCCAAGTGACGAGGGAATCTCTCCGGATAGCTGATTATGTGCTAATTCAAGAACTTGTAAGGCCACCATTTCACCGATTTCGTCCGGGATTTTTCCTCGGAGCTCATTGTACGAGAGATCCAAATACTCCAACGTCTGGTATTGTGTGAAGAGACTCAACACTGCTCCAGAATACATCCTAGTAAAATCACAACTTTTCAAGTTTGGTATCTGCAATAGTCTTTCAGGCCTAATACCAGCAAACTCCAACAGCCCTCCGACGCCTTTACACGAATTCCCGACATTCCTTACGAACACCAGAGTGTTGCCTGACAGAATTCCACTCAAGGATTTAGCCCCGAGCTGCCGGCCGAGTCTCGGTGGGATTTCACCTGTGAGTGGTTGCTGTTTATATCTAACCAAACCAAGCTAGTGCAGTTCCCTAGCTCTCCTGGTATTAAACCACTCAAGCTATTGTTTGCCAGCTGAAGAACAGCTAACCTTGACAACATGCCGAATTCTCGAGGGATCGAGCCGGTGAGTTTGTTGCTTGTGAGAGATATCCATTCGAGATTGCTGCAGTTGAATAACTCAACAGGAATCTCACCACTGAGTCGATTGTTGTTAAGGATGAGATCTTTCAATTTACTGCATTTTCCCAATTCTTCGGGATTTGTCCCTCCAACTCATTGAACCATGCTATCAGCTGCTCAAGATTCTCAAGCGCCCCGAACTCGGCCGGGATCGATCCGTTGAGGTAGTTTAAACTGAAATCAACTGTCCTCAAATGGGGACATTGTGACAGTTGACTTGGGATCTGTCCTGTTATAAGGTTGTCCGGGATCTTCAGCTCCTCAAGTGCTGCAGCTCCAGGGCATATATCAGGTGGGATGGTCCCAAAGAATTTATTCGAACTCAAATCCACAACTCTCAAGCTCCTGCAATACAAAATCGAAGACGGAAACGGACCGAAGATGATGTTATTACTCAACAACAAGGCCTCTAATGCACCAAGATTCTGGAGGATAGAATCCAGGAAAGGACCCGTTATGTTGTTATTAGACAAATCAAGAAGCAGCAGGTAAGAACATGAAGACAATGAGCCAGGAACAGGACCAGACAAGTTGTTGTAAGAAAGCCTGAGTTCCAAGAGCGAGTCACATGCATTCCCCAACTCGGAAGGTATCCAACCGGTGAGATGGTTAGAAGAAAGGTCTAGCTTTTGTAACCTTTTAAGCTCTCCGAAAGAGCTCGGGATCTCCCCGGTGAGCGAATTCGACGAGAGATTCAAAGCGGTGAGCTTCGTGCAATTCGAGAGATGATCGGGGATCGAATCGACGATGTGGTTACCGGACAAATTGAGGACCAACAAAGAATTGCACGAGTTCTCCAATTTCAGCCCTGAAATGGACCCTGTTATGTTGTTGAACGAAAGATCAAGGACCTGCAACTTATCAGGGTTTGGCAACAAAAGGTCACCAGGCAAAGACCCTGTTAGATTACTATGTGACAAATCAACATATTGGAGAATCGGTAGTTTGGAGAACAAGTTATCAGGGAACGGACCAACGAGACCGGTGTCGGACAACTCGAGACGCTTCAATCCATAAGGGAGGAACACCAAAGTGGTTGAATTTACAGTGAACATATTCCCAGACAAAACCAAACCAGACAACATGTTTAAAGAAGCCAAAGGATTGAAAAAGATGGTCCCATACAGGCTGCACTGGTTAAGTTCAAGCTGAACCACTCTTCCTAATGAACATTTAACACCATACCAGACGCATGGACTCGTTTCATGCTTCCAGCCCGATAAAACTCCGGTCGGGTCGTTGTCGATCATCTCCTTGAAGGCGAGAAGGGCCGCTGCATCGGTTTTGATCGACGGAACCACCGCTTGCTCCGCCGCGGAAACTGAAATGTAGACCGTAAAGATAAGTATCAATGGGAGACCATAGGAAAGTTTAAGCGGTTTGATCTCCATTGATGAGAAACACAATTGAGAGAAAGATGGAAGGGATAGTGGGAGTGGTGAATATTATGATGAGCAATTGTTGCGGATGCAAAGTAGACGAGAAGCTTTAGAAAAAGATGTTGCTTTTTTCTAATATAAAAGGAGAATCGAACCCTTTACTATTTAACTCGACTCAACTCCACTCGATACATCTATGATACTATGAAACGGCTTTGTTTCACTGATCTATACGTCCATACTTCCATGGTCAAAAGGAAAAGGACCCACAGACAAGGTCTGTCATAAGATCGGCTTCTTTCTATTACAGAGGAAAAAGAAATGCTAAATTTGGGGTACATATGTAGTTTGATGATCATTGATGCAAGAGGAGTCGCTGTCTGTTTGCTTGTCAGAGAGGCGTGAGAGAAAGCTTTTTTTTTTTTCATATATGATCAGATGATATGAAGAAGGTGAAGATTCAGTTCCATTGTAAGTGATTGTCTCTCATCTATTTTCGTTTCTTTCCCATCTCTCCTTCCAACGATTTCGATTTGGTGTCATTTTTCTTTATTACTTTCTTGGCAACAATTGATTTTTAAATTCGATAATTGTAAATTAAAATCGAAAAATATTCAAACAATAAATTTTAAAAAGATTTAAGGGTCATCTTTGTCTTTGTAATAGACTTAATTTATCATCTTCAATCCTATCGTATTTTCGTATCAATTTAAACCTCAAAATTATTTAATTGATCATTTTATACCTCGCCCATAACTTAAAACCCTAAATTATAAATCTTAAGCTAAGGTTTTTGAGTTAGGGGTATGATAGAATGATGCAATTGATCATCTTTCTCAAATTTCAAATTAAATATTTAATAAAAAATTATTTAATAAATTTTTATTAATTTTAAAATTAAATAATTTAGGCTTAATTGTAAAATAAGTGTCCAAATTATAGCGCTTTCCACAAATAGGTGTTTAAATTTTTTTTTGAATGATCCAAGTGTCTAACGTTACAAACGATAGATGCTCAGACCGTAACTGTCGTTAATTTTCTTTGTTAAGTGACACGTGTCACGTTATGATAATTTTAAAATTTTATTTAAAATTAAAAATTAAAATTATATTTAAAAGACCAAAAAAAATTAAAATAACCTAAAACTTTGAAAACCCTCGTTTCAACTCCTAAATCTACGCCGGCCGTTGGTCTTTGCTGTCGACGAAGCTCCACTCGACCTCACCTCCCCCGATGATAAATAACCCTATGAAACCGGGACCAGCCGGTGTTTTGTACCCCGTGAACCCTATGATGAAAATCGCAATCTCACACGAACTCGAAACTAATCGGCTGCAACTATGGCAGCGTATAGCCAGAAAGATGGCAGCGACTACGTCAATTAAGGTGGTTGTGGCCGGCAAGAGCGACGATGGCATATTAAGGCTAAAGATTTAGGGTTGACAAT